GTAGGGAAACAAGCACCTCTGAAGGGATGCTGTCAGACCATTTCATTTTCAACTCCTTACAACTGTCTTAAAGCTGCAAGGAAAGAGATAAAAAATAAACACCCACCGGGAAACCCCAGCAGACACTAAAGGGAACTGCTTATACAGGAATAAACTCTGTCCTTGAAATAAAGCTTTTAGTACCACAGCTCATTTGAAAAAATTAAACTCCTTTATTTGACAAATTAGTAAAAATCAGGGCCAGCACAGCAATACAAAGAATGATCATTCTAGTTCCACCTTCCCCCTCCCCCAGTTAGTCCATGGTTAGAGACTGCAGCCCCATGCTCGGCACACGAGCTCGGAGCGACTGAACCGCGGTGCCAGGAGCTGCTCCTGCCTCATTCCCACACACGTTCCCAAGAAAGGGACAGGACAGCTGGGCTGGATGGAAAGGAGATGCCTGGTGGTGCTTTCTGGACTGAGCACACGAACATCAGATCATGACTTTTTTTTTTTTCCAGTTCTTGCTTAAAGACTTTTCATGCCCGGGCTGTGTGCGGGCAGCCTGGCACACCTCGCTCGCCTTGCAGCAGGGGCTGCAGGGGGACACACCTGCAAACGTGGCTAAATGAAGCAACACAGGCCCCCGGGCAGGACAACTTACCAGCGCTGCAGGGAACACCTGCTCGGGGTCCAGGTTCATCTTCATTTGAGCCACTTCTCATGACCAACCTCCCCAAAGCCTTCCCCTACCCCAGCTCTGAAGGAGGGAAGAGGCTGGAAGGACAGAGCCTGTTGCTATATATCCAGGTGGAAGCTGGAAGCTGCAGGCCTTTCTTGGTGTGCTGGCAGTTGCTTGGATTTGTACAGAAATGGTTTGTGGCACATGGAGTCCATCAGAGGAGGGTAATACTGCCTGTAGCAGAGGTAGGCAAGCACGAAGCCCATCACCGAGCCAACCAACACATCTGTGGGCAAGACCAGAGGAGAGTCAGCTTTCCTTTTGTCCTGCTTTTGAGCTGCCTTCCTGAGCTGCAGGGCTGAATTCTCCAACCAACCCACCTTGCCAGTGGTGCTTGTAGTCGCAGGTGCGGGACACGGCGATGAGGGTGGCGAGGAAGAGGGGGAGGAGGAAGGCACAGAGCCGCAGGGCCCTGCCCCCCCGGCTGGGCGCGAAGCAGCGCAGCTTCCCGGCCAGGTAGAAGGCAGAGAAGGCCAGACCAGCGAAGGCGACTGAGGGAGAAGTGTGAAGCTTCAGGAACAGCTCCGGGCTCTGTGTGCCCAGGGATGCAGCAGGGAGGGGATGTGGAAAACTCACAGGACGCGTGTCCGCTGGGGAAGCTTTTGCGTCCCTCGGTCACGACGCCGGGGTCTCCCGTGCAGAGCAGCTCCTCGTTGGCTCGTCCGTCCGGGAAGCAGCGGTAGAAAAAGTCCGGCCGTGGCCTAGAGCAGAGAACAAGGCCAGAGTCCTGGGGTGTGAGGTGCTCCCAGGTGCCTGAAATCCCCATATGGTTCCCAGCAGCACAGCCTGGAGCACAGCGCAGCAAACCTGGCCGGAAGCAGCTCAGCACAGGGAACCTTCTGCCACCCCGATCATGCGTGGCTTGGGGAGGTGACACCACCCCACCTGCTCCCTGACTGTGTGCCAAAGCCCTCCTCCCTGGCACAGACTGAATGAGCCCATCCAAGACATGCCTGGAGACAGCAGGTCCCTGCCAGTGTTTGTTCTAATATTCAAATGTCTTTACAGCTAGAAAACACACATTGTTCCAGAGTAAATACGTCCAACTTCAGCTTCTGGCCCTTGCTCCTGCTATTGTAGCTCTACCAACTTGCAGACATGCCCACCCTCTCCACATGGGAAATGAGCCTGTTTCTCACCTCCCTACAATGAGCTTCAGGGCATTTGTGAAAACCCCATTCAGGGCGAGAGCAAGGCTGGCAGCTAGGAGAGAGCAGAGAGGTCACATCAGCACCGTCCCCACCTGAAGGTGCAGCTTCAAGGCACGTCAGGCACGGGCAGGGCTCAGGCTGCAGCTGGAGCCACACAGCTCAGCTTTGGTACCCCTGGCACAACACTTGTGCCCCAGCAAGAGCAAAGGACACATTTGTGAGACCCCCCCAACCCACAGGCACCCCCTCGGGGGGTCTGCAGCTCCCAGGGGTACAGAGCTCACCAAGGCAGGCTTCCCGTGTGTCTTCTCGGTCGGCGTTCATGAACACCCTTGCCAGGATGATGAGCAGCAAGGGAGACAGAAACGCGATGAACTGCCACAAAACAGTAAGATGATGTGAGTGAGTAAGATTTAAACATGCTCCTGACACCACAACACAACAGCAATGGCTAAGAGAGACCACACACCTTTCCCCCCGCCCCGAGTCAAGCAGCAACCTGCCCTCTCCAAACACTACACGTGTATCAGGAGGCAAAACCAGCCCCAGCTGCAAAGACCAACACTGTGCTCCCCCGAGCAGGGCTGCTCCTCCTGTTTGCCCCCCCACAGCAGTGCCTCAAGTGCAAAAGCCCAAGGGGCTACTGGATGTTGTCTGCACTGAAGCATGAGGAAAATATCCCAGGCAGGATAAGTAATGCAGTGCCCCAAAAAGCTCCTCTCTGCCTCCTGCTGCTTCCCATGCTTTTCCCCACTCCCTCATGGGGGCAGCCTGGAATCCCCCAGCCCCTCAAACAGCACCTCTGGCACCAGAGCAGTGCTCTGCCTGGTTTGTGTCCCTCCTGCCTGCAGCTCCCTCCTCTCCTGTTGTGGGTTTCCCTTCACAGCCCCAGCACCTCCACACTCCCCATCCCTGCCAGCATAGGGATCAGCTCCCTGTCTGCAGCACCCATGCTGCTTGTCAGCAAAAAGTCCAGGAGCTGCTGATGCAGATTGAACCCCTTTCCATTCACAACACCTTGGTGGAGATGCCACCCTGGGGACTCCCATGGAGCTTGCTACCACCTGAGCTCTGGCACACACCCTGCTTTCCTGCCAAATCCAAACTCTACACCGAGGTTTTGCCCTGCAACATTTAAAAACCCTGTGCTCACCTCCTGCAGAAAACCTCAAGTGCTGTTTGCTCACTTGCCCACTCCAGGAGCCAGTGTCTCACCAAAACACCCCTTCTTCAGAGGATGAGACAACCCCTCTGACCTGCCACCATTAGCTTACAGTTTTAATTAAACCCTTTTAACAGACTCTAAGGGAAAGCATTTTCATAACAAAATGATCATAAACCTCTGCTGAAAACAGCTGGTTTCAAGCAAAACATTCACTGACAGTGAGAGATACACTATCCTCCATGGTCCTGGTAATGTGGTTGTGAAATTACTGAACAACAATCTAAGTTTCCTGTAGTTTTTATAAACTTACTTAAAATGCCAAAGGCAACCCTGAATGGCAAAGCCTAAAAAAGTGACAAAAGTTTCTGCAAACGTCGTCCAGTTTGCAGTTAACACTTTGCACTTCCAGTAACACGTATCAGGAACTACAGGTGTTTGCAACACCAGCCTCTCAGCTGGCAGAGCCGCTTTAAAAGGACGGTTTATCACCAGAGGGGAAAAAACCACAGGTGTAGGAGAGGGCAGAACTTACAAACATGGGCAGGGTGGGGACGTGATCCGCTTCGAGGTGGGGGTTTTTGTACAGCCACATCTCCTCGGGCTGCACCACGCGCTGGAAGGGCGGCAGGAACTCCATGATTCTGGGGAGGGAAAGAGAAGATAAATATAAATAAATAGAGAGATAGAGAGAGAGACAGATGGATAGATGGATGGATAGACAGAGATAGAGACAGAGAGAGAGAGAGAGAGAGAGAGAGATGGATAGAGAGTTGGATAGAGACGGATAGATGGGTAGATAGATATAGATGGATAGATAGATAGATAGATAGATGGACAGATAGATAGATAGACAGACAAAGAGATAGATAGACAGACAGATAGATGGATAGATAGATAGATAGATAGACAGACAGACAGGATTCTGGGCAGCCACGGATGCAGAGCAGGGAGAACCGGCCTGGACAAGGAGGGGCTGAGGCGCAGGGCGCTGGGGAGGCCCAGCAGGCCCAGGGTGGGCCCAGAACCCCACCAGGGTGGGCCCA